CAGGGGCAGGAAAGCGCAGCTAGGTTCCCTCCTCGCCCCTCTTTCCCCCGCTGGGAGTTGCAGTTCTGATGTTTCAGTTTCTAGGGTACAGGATTCTTTTTTTTCCGATGGAAAATACCAATCTGCAGCCCCGAGCAACCCAGCTAGGATTGTTGTCAGTCCCAGCTAGGATTGCTGTTTGCTCTGCCACCATGAGTGTTTTGGCTGAGCACTTCCAAAAAAAATCCTTTTATCCTGATTCACTCTGGAGCAGGGAAATGGAGATTCTGTAAGGAGAAACTTCTGGGGTTTGGGCAAACTTTCTGCCTCCTTCGTCTTTCTATCCTCCAGAACCAGATTATTTTAAAATATAAGATTAACTTGTCTGTTTCTGCTGAACTGCTAATCCTTCCTTGAAGATGTTGTCATTTTTTCTCCCCTCCATATACTGTGACAGAGGGACTCCCAGGTCCCCTCCACGGTCACAGCTTCAGAGTGGAGGATGCTTCACAAGGTGCAACAAGTTCAGTTTCTCCCGCTGTGACCTGCAGGCATCACTTTTCTACTTAAAGCTGCAAAAAGTGCCAAAGAGCTGCAAAAATGCCAGAAGGGCAATCAATGGAGAAAGAAGGACAGACATCCAGAGTTGTTTCCCTGGAAATTCTCTATAAAACGAGTCCAAACATACAGAAATGCAAACATCCATTGGTGTTGGTTGAAATCTAAATTTAAATTTAACAAGACAGTGTTCTCCATGCTATGTTCTGGTTTTTAAAGTTTTCCATTCTGAAGAGTTGTGTTTTGGTGAATATACACTTGGAAATGTTTCCTGCTTCATTGTATCTCATAGGAAATTTGGGCAAAGGTACCAGGACAAGTGGAATTCAAGCCATTATTATTTAATCTGTCCTAGGTTAACCTACTCATTTATTTCTTTTCTTGCAGCAGCTCTGACTGTTTTGTGGGCACTTTTGCTGGGCGTCAGGAGCATCAGGAATCAGCTGCAGCTCCTCTTGCCAGGTAAATAAATACACTTGAAGGCTGCCTTTCTCCAGGTTTGGCTTTCCAAGGAATAAACCCAAAGCTGTTACAGCAAAATAGCCCCAAAAAAGATTTTTAAAAGCACACAACAGCTCTGTCAGTCTATAGCAGTCAAGTTAAATTCAGAGCCATTGTAAAATCCCAGTCTCTGTTCCAGTCTTTGCTGTTATTATCTGGGTTGCTGGACAGAAAATTATTCTCAAATCAAATATTGCTTTATGTATTGAAAAGCAATTGAGCTGCCTAAACAAACTGTTTTATGATAATTATTGTGGTTCCCACTCACCTCCAGGGATTTGGGACCAGCTTTTTGTGGCTGAATTGCTCTGGGTTGGATCTTACCCACAAATATGATTAAAACTGTTTTTGGAAAATGAGAATAAAATCACCTGCTCTGTACAGGAACAGAATAAATGCAGCTTGGACAAGAGTCAGATCAGCTCTGGCATTCCCTGACTTTAGCAAACTTCCTGGGGCAGTGACATGCAGAGAGGCTATTAAATGAGCAAAACAAGAGGACTAAGCATATTATGTTTTGGTAGAGAAGATCTAACGCGGGCACAGGAATAAGGTGTGTAATTGCTGGAAGTGGAGTGCCAGAGGAAGGTCAAGGTCATCTGTGTGAATCACACACACCTTTTAATTTTATATCATTCAGCTTCCTTTAGCCTTGAGGTGTGCTGATAGAGTCCTTCAGCCTTGAGATGTGCTGATAGAGTTTTGAGTGTTCTTTGGACCCTCATGCTGGGAACGGGGGCTGCTTCTGGCCCCCCTCAGCCACGTGCAGGACCAATCCTTCCTCTTCCTCCTTCATCAGACCAGCATTTCCTGGGGAAAATCTACTTGGAGGAAATGGGCAGGAATGGGCGAAATGGGCTTTGTTCCACTTGGCACTGCTGGCCCCTGGCTGGGGTTCATTTTGCTATTGTGAAATCCACGTTTTCAGTGGTTCCTTGTCATTTTGAAGGAAAACACTTCTGCGTTCTTTGCCCACTGGGAAGTTCCCCCAGTGGGCTTGGGCACTTCCACCCCAAGGAGGAAAGAAAGGCCTGGCCCTGTGCAGGCAGGAGCTGCTCGACAGGTTCCTGCTCTGGGGCTGCTCCTCAGGACCAGGGCTGGTGTCTGCTGGGGTGCCACGGCCCCTGAGGCTGCTGGGCCTGCCCCAGGCACCTCCTCTCTGCTCCAGGATGGATTTGGGTGGCGTGTGCTCTGCTGGGAGTGTTCTGAGCGCTCTGCCCGCCTCGCTGCCAGCGTCACATTTCCTTGTCCCTCTGGGGACCCTTCAGGTGCACCTCCCTCAGCTGGTTATTCCAGAACGGAGCCACCGCAGGCCGGAGGCACCCGGGCAGGGCAGCACAGGGAGTCACAGCTCTGTCCCGCAGGCTCCTGGAGGTGCAGGATGACTCTGTTCGACGGCGTCTACCCCTTCTACCCGCAGCACAGGAAGGCTGCCGTGTTTGACATCAGCACCATCATAGTCACCGTGGTGTTCCTCACGCTGGCTTGCTGCTTCCTGCTCATCATCCCGGGCATCC